TATAAACTATCAAGGGCTCATGAGGGAGGGGGGAGCGGAGAGGGAGGGGAAAAATGAGGACCTAATGCCGGGGGTTTAAGTGGAGAGAAAAATGTTTTGAGAATGATGAGGGCAAGGAATGTACAAATGCGCTTTACACAACTGATGTGTGTATGGATTGGGGTAAGAGATGTATGAGCCCCTAATAAAATGATTAAAAAAAAAAATTTCACAATATATAATCATATATTGTTTTTGTGATTAATCACTATGCTTTGTTATGTTCAATTTGTAACAATGAAAATACATCATGCATATCAGATGTTTACATTATGATTCATAATAGTAGCAAAATTAGTTATGAAATAGCAATGAAAATAATTTTATGGTTGGCAGCTTGATTACCTTCAAGCCTTTAAGACCCCAGATGCTATACTTTTTGATAGCCGGGCACCATCAGCTTATGAAAGGGTGGCGGCATGAGGAAGGTTGAGAACCACTGCTATCGAGTCACTCTGAGTCAGAATTGATGTGATGTCAGTGAGCTTGGTTTTTGGATAGTAAATACCATAACATAAACAACCCTGCTGTAACAGTTAACAACTCACTGCCATCAAAACCTCCATAGGGTTTCCAAGGCTGTAAATCTTTACAGGAGCAAAAAGTCTCTTTCTCCTCTGGGGCAGATGGAGGATTCAAACTGCTGACCTTGTGGTTAGCAGTCTAATGCATAACCCATCACACCACCAGGGCTCAATAGTAGTAAGCAATCCTTTGAGAATGGATACACAGGTAGCTGGGTAAGCAAAATAGATGTGGGAAAGCCATATACATGTGGACCACACCCATGTTCGTATATAGGTCTGGTTGTGGATTTTTCCACATACTATGTATATGTACTGCATGTAGATTCAGTACAGAAGGGCAGAGCTACAGAAACTTCTGAGAAATTAACCAAACAACTCACAGAGTAGGCTCCTGGGCTTGAAGACTAAGGACCATAGTAGTACTGAGGGGCATCTAGATCAACTGACATAAAACAATGGCCAAGCTCCTCACCCTAGTTTGCCGAGTAGCACCTGGGGGCTTAAAAGCTTGAGTAGCCACGTGAAATATAAATACTGGTCCTTCCTGCCTGGGGCAGAGTGAGGTTAAAAAACGGGCTCAAGAATTCCATCAGTCCACAGGACTAGTGGCCCCCATAAACCACAGCCCCTCCTCTGGCCTGAGGGAAGAACTAGATGGTGCTCAGCTACCACTATGAACCATCATGTCCACGAATATTTCATATCCTTGGATGGAAGGTCTTGGTTAGAATGAGAGAAAAAGGTAAGCCAAAACTCAAAATTCCTAAAAAAAGACCACACTTACTGGGCTGATGCACCTGGAATGGCACTTCTTAACCTGTGGGACGCAATCCCTTTGGGGGTCAAACAACCATTCACAGCGGCGGCCTGATTCATCACAGTAACAAAATTACAGTTATGCAGTAGCAACGAAAATAATATTATGGTTGGGGGGGGG